TGCAGGTCCCCGCGCTGCCCACACCTGCAGTAGCCGAAGGAGGGAGATTTATCGTTTTGTGATCCCGTACGAACAGCGACGTGTGTCTCGTCGTCGTTTCATTGAAGGTGAAAAACGCATGAAGGGAATACGACACTATTCTATTTTGATTGATTGATTTATTTATTCTTGTGATTGGGGATTTTATTTAACGAGAGGAAAAAAAAGGTGTTCTGTTATTTGTTTTTAATTCGTTGTGTTTTTGTGTGTGTTTGTGTTTTCGTGTTATCATGTTTTCGTAAGTGTTATTATATCAACTCTTACTCACTTATACTTTCACTTTTTTTCTTTTTTGCCTTATTCCTCATATTTAAAGAGGGGGAGAGTGTGTTAAAAAGAAAACAATGAAATATGCTTTGTACTTTTGAAAACAAGGTGCGTAGAAGACAAAAAAATTTACCAAGTCATTGTGGTATGTGATCTTCGCGTTAAAGAATTTCATACATTAATTGTTCATATGTTCGTGTGCTTAGTTGTTTGTTTGTTCGTTGTTGTTTTCATTGTTGTTGGTCTGCTTATCATTGTTATTATCAGTATCATCATCGTCATCATTATCATTATCATTTTTTATAATTATCATTGTTATCGTTGTTGTTAATATTATTACTGTTATCGTTATCAATACTTCCACTAATATTATCACCATCATTATTATTTATAGGTTGTCAGTAAGCTTCTTTACCTTGTAACTCGTTATTTTGTTCTTCAGTCCACGAAACACTGAAAGTTCACATGAACAGCCCGAGGAAGGGATATTAAATCACTATGCAAAAAAAAAACTGACTGATTTTACTTTCAACGCAACTTTTCTTCTTTTTTTTTTGCTTCTACGCGCATTTTCATAGCACTTATCATGAATAAATCACTATTAGCTTAGATGAATGACTAATCACACAAGCCCATACGAGACGCGAATCCTTGAACTAAAATCAAGTGAAACTCAATCTAGTGTCATACTATAGTGCCAATGACCTGTCTTACGTGTGTCGTTTTGCTCGTCCCCCTGTGTGACCTGTTGACGAATTCTACCTACCAATATATCTAATTGTTGTTGTTCTAACCTGTGTTCTACCAATCTTTCGTCTGCTGTTGTGTTGTTCTCCAGTTCTACATGTCTACCTGTGTTGTTCTTGTTCTTTGAGTGATTCTACCTATCCGTGTGTTTACTTTCGGACTATTCTCTTTATGCTTTTCTATCTATCTACCTTCGCTGTCTAGCTTAAAGTGCCTGCATGCAACAAGCTACTTATCTACTCGTGGCCCTTCACCTATCTGCCTATCTATACCATCCCATTCGCCAAATTCCTTCCACTTACCTACTCTCACCTCCATCTACTAGCTCCATTACCCTCCACCTACCCCCTCACCCCTCCCTCCCTACCCAGCTCCACCTCTCTCCACCTACCCACTCTCGCCTCTCTCCACCTACCTAGCTTCATCTCCCTCCCTCCACCTCCCTCCAATTCCCTCCACCTCCCTCCATTTCCCTCCACTTCCCTCCACCTACCCACTCTCACTTCCCTCCCTCTAACAGCGGACGAAAGGATAAGAAAACACACACTCTCTTACGGTCTTTCTCTCTCGTAGTGAAATAATATACGCGTCGCATATGAAGGAGACTGCATTGAGAGGAGAGAATGGGGGAATGGGAGAATGGGGACGGGTGGGGTGGGGATTGGTCCGTAGAGGAAGGGAAGGGGAAAGGGAAGGGAGGGGAGGAGGAACAGGGTGCCAGAAACATGCAATAGAGAAAGGCAGTGGGAATCTGCCACTCACTTCTATACGCATATGTGTGTGTGTGTGTGTGTGTGTGTGTGTGTTGGCTGTCCTATATGATTTTCTTCTCTGTTTATTTGTCTGTCTGTCTGTTTCTCTCTCTCTCTCTGTCTTTTGGTCTCTCTCTCTCTCTCTCTCTCTCTCTCTCTCTCTCTCTCTCTCTCTCTCTCTCTCTCTCTCTCTCTCTCTCTCTTTCTCTCTCGCTGTCTCTCTCTATCATTCTCGATTCTCCCACTCCCCACCCCTCTCTCTCTCTCTTTCTCTGTCTCCCCCACCCCCTCTCTCACTCTACCATTCTCATTTTCTTTCCCTCCCCCCTCTCTCTCTCTCTTTATCATTATCATTTTCTTCCCCTCCCTCTCCCTCCCCCTTCTCTCTCTTTCCCTCTCCACCCTTCTCCCTCTCTCTCTCTCTCTTCTCCCTCTTTCTCCCTCTCTCTCCCTCTCTCTCCCTCCCCCCTCCCTCCCCCCTTTCTCCCTCTTGATGTAAATACTCGTTAAAGCAAACAACAGTTCACATGGTTCATAAAAAGCTTCTTAAATTGCTAGACAACCACACATTCGATAGTTTTGTTACAATATATATATGTATATATATACATATATATATATATATATATATATATATATATATATATATATATATATATATATATATATTTTTTTTTTTTTTTTTTTTTTTTTTT